GGTACACGGCCGAACGATATATGTAGAGCTGCAACTAATGATCACAAACCAAACGATACAGCAATTACCCCTAGATGGATTTTGTTGGTGTCTAGCCCTAGCTCTTCTCCTCATCTGAGTTCTCTCTCTCGCGCGCACAGCCGTAGAAGAAAGAAGGGGGAAGAACAAGGAGAACACAGCAAAAAAATTGCCTGGCGCACGCACGCCGCCGGCCGCACGAAAGGCCTCTTGTATTTCCTGAGCACGAACTCAGCTACAACAGACTACAACACGCGGGGACAGCCTTATACACGGACACGCACACACGCACTAAGCTAGCTAGCCTCATCCATCTAGCAAACTCATGCATGCATGCAGCTGGACGCAGCGCCCACGCAACGCCCGCCCGCCCGCCGAGCTCCACGCGCACGTACACGATCTCCTGGAGACTCGGTGTGAGCTGCCTGCTCTTCCGCTGCTTCCGCCCAGCCCGACGGCCACTTCGCCACGCCCCGCGCTCCTCAGCTCCCGCGCACGCACGCCAACGGGACGCGACTGGTTTCAGTGCCCGGCGCGGCCACACTCCGCGCGTCCGTCTAACCAACTCACACACACACCCGTGCACTCCCACCATGGACCCGATGCAGCTGGGACTGCGCCCGACGCGTCTGGTGCGCGCACGCCCACGCACCCAACATGGTCGCCACTGTGACGGCCATGGCTTTATTCCTAACATTCACCCCCTAAGTCGTGGCTCAGAGGGGTCCGCCGTCTTCAACGCCAGCGTCTGCCATCAGCGCGCGCTCCGCCGCAGGCTCCCTCCGCAGCTGGGGGCATTCGGGCTTGAAGTGGCCGCGCTCACCGCACTTGTAGCAGCGCCCGCGCCTGTTGCCGCCGCTCCCCAACGCCACGCCGCACCTGTCATCGTCGTCGCGTGCTCCGACTTGCTGCCGCTCCCGTGCCCGCCACTGCACCACCATGAATAGCAGATGTTCATTCGCCCGCTCGCAGTTGTCCTGCCGTCGACACCAAACTCGCTCCTCGAACGCGCGCAGCCGCCCGAGCGCTTCGTCAAACGCCATCGTCGTCACGTCGTGGACCTCTCGATACCGGCGACGACAGGGAAGAGCTGATCCGGCACCGTATCCAGCAGCTTCTTGACGAGCGTTGCATCGCCAAGCGTCTCCCCGAGGTTGGCGTACGTCGCCGTCATCGCCGCGAGCCTCCCGGCGTACACGTCGAGCTCCTCGCCGTCTGCCATCTTCAGCCGGTCGAATTCGCCGCCCAGCGTCGCCAGCCTCGCCGTGCGGACCCGATCGGCACCGACGAACCTCACCTTCAGGGAGTCCCATACCTCCCTGACGGTGAGCTTCATGGCCACCTGCAGCAGCACGTCCTCCGGTAACGCCCCGAGCAGCAACGCACGCGCCATCTTGTCCTTCCGCGCGTTCGCCGCCTCGTCGCCCGGCGCCGCCGCCTCCCACACGGTGTGCATGTCGAGGATGGCATGCGCCTTGATGGCCCAGACCGTGTAGTTGTCGCGGTCATCATTGGCATCGCCATCATCGCCGACCCGCCCGCTCCTCTGCCGTGCGGCACGATCGCCATTGCCGCCGGCGAGCTCCAACCAAAGCTCTTATGCCAATTGTTGGTGTCTAGTCCTAGCTCTCCTCCTCACCTGAGGTCTCTCTCTCTCTCTCGCACATACGTAGAAGAAAGGAGGAAGAATGAGGAGAACACAGCAAGATTTTTGCCTGGCGCACGTACGCTGCCGGCCGCACGAACGGCCTCTTGTATTTCATGAGCACCAACTCAGCCACAACAGACTACAACATGCGGGGACAGCCTTATACACGGACGCACACACGCGCACCAAGCTAGCTAGCCTCATCCATCTAACAAACTCATGCATGCATCCAGCTGGACGCAGCGCCCACGCAATGCCCGCCCACTGAGCTCCACGCGCACGTACACGATCTCCAGGAGACTCGGCGTGAGCTGCTTGCTCTTCTGCTGCTTCCGCCCAGCCCTGACGGCCACTTCGCCACGCCCCGCGCTCCTCAGCTCCCACGCCCGCCGCGCACGCACGCCAATGGGATGCTACTGGTTCCAGCGCCCGGCGCGGCCACGCCCCGTGCGTCCGTCTAACCAACTCACACACACACCCGTGCACTCCCGTCACGGACCCGATGCAGCTCGGACTGCACCCGGCGCGTCCGGTGCGCGCACGCACACGCACCCGGTGTGGTCGCCACCATGACGGCCACGGCTTTATTCCTAGCAGATTTTCCTAAGCTGTCATGCTAAACTTGGCTACATGGTTCTTTTGACGACTTCGGGGTTTACCTACACTTGGATTAGCTTGGCAATCATGTTATGTATTTATCAATATGCCAGTTTTAATCATTACTGTATGTGAATGACTTACTACCTTCTGTTTTTTGACCAAGTTTCTTAACACTTGGTCAGTGATATGCTGGCATTGGGTACAGTACTGGATGACGGTGTATTTCTCATAGCAGAAGTTGGATGCTTATGCATGATACACGACTGTTATACAAACAGGTGATTATGCATGAGGTTATGCAATTCTTCTAGCAGAACATGCATGGTTAGTGATTGTTGGCTGAA